AACTTTTTAGTATTTACTAAAAAGCATTTTAAGTGACTCTGCCTGGTTCAATAAATTCAATATTTTGCCTGAACGTAGCTACGCCTTTTCTAGGGGTAATTTTTTGTGCTAATGCCGAAAAACGTAACCATAAATCACGAAAATGGATATGAATTATAACAAAAATACTTTTGGAGTCTTCAGTTGACCGCTGTTCCCCGGAAATTTATCAAAAATCCGCCATCGGTCATATTCAGACAGCTTGCGCGCTTGACCGCGTTTTGATCTTTCAGTGTAGACCATGATCCAAAGAATCATAAAATTCTAACAGGGAATCATCTGAAACAAGTTGTCATGATTCGTGCTTATCTTTTTTGAGAATCAGCGCAAAAAACTACCCCTGAAAAAGTTTACAGAGACGACTTTGGGTAAAAGTGCGTTAGTTTCAATTTACGCAAAAATCTAGAGATATTTTAGAGTTTTTTGTAATTTAGATAATCTGACATTGAGAGATTCTGAAATTTAGAGGTTCTGACATTTAGAGTTCGGAACGAATATTATCAGGGTGGTATTGGTACATCGCCGAAAATCGAACAATCACGCTGGTCTAAATCGCCGTTGCAGACATTTTTAAGCATTCTGACATGGTAACGCATGGTCTACAGGGTGTCCCAAAAAAAAGCACCCCTCCGACATTTCGCTGTATTACATCCCACCAGTCTCAAAATTGGACTGGAGGTGTACCAGACCCTAAATAACCACAATCCTGAATTATAACCCGATCGCTACCGTAGTTTTCGAGTTATCGCCAAAATACTGTTTTTTACGCGGTTCTTAACAGTTTTTTCGGCTATCATTTTGGACGTTGCATTGATTTGCATCAACTTCCGGCTGTGAATCCCTAATTTCGCTCAATATCGGGAGTGACTTTGCGTTACAAAAATTGTTGAAATCAACGGTTATTGATTAATTTTAATCAGAAAAAATCTCTAGTGGTAAAGAAGGCTTGCCGCTGCATTTTCACTTAATATTCGATGGGTCGATTCCGACGAAAACCATATGAAAAACGGATAATAAAGTTTATTTTTGTTGTATCTCGAAGATTACAGTAGCTGGCGGGCTATAACACAGGATTGTGGTTATTTAGGGTCCGATACACCCCTGGTCCAAATTTCGGACCGATCGGATGTAATACGGCGAAATGCCAGAGGGGTTCTTTTTTTATGGGACACCCTGTATTATCTTGCTATCAAAAGTAAAACAAATAACAAATAAAGTTCCGGTTAACCGTCCAGTACCGACAGTTCGGCTCGAATGTCCTTTCAGATGTACGATGACTACAAAATGCGTCGATATTTTCAAATGGACGTCTATGAACAACGTAGGTGGCTATCGATTTGACGCTAAGGATATAGGGTAAAGGTTGCTTAACGAGGGGCCGGGGGAGCGAGACAGCCTCGATAGAGCAGATAGCTAAAGCTGCGGAACGGTCATTTTCAGGTTACTTCCTAGCCTACATCTACAATGGAAAACCAATGCAAGCACCCTATGGAGTGATTTCACTTTGTTTCTTCAACACCAAATATCGCCCATCACCGTACCAGCTTCCCGTTTTTTCGGAAAGTCAATATGTTGTATCCTATCCTAAAAACGAGACGAGTATGCCCGGTCTCTGTGCGGCCCTTTTCTCGGTCATCAGGCCGTGTCTTGGTCGAATTTTTGGCATGAAGGTTTGAAGCCCCCTACACTCAAAACGCATTTTTTTTTGTTTACTAATATTTTTCCGATAAAAAACAACAAAGCAATATAAAAAGAACGATCAACTGAAAAAGCAATATAAAAAGCAGATATTTCAAACCTTAGACACTTCATAAAGTAATTTAGAAACAGGGCTTGAACAGAATGTTCTAAAGAAAAGTAAATTGGATACAGGCTTCGAATCCTACCCCCTAACTGTCAAGTGTGAGCGTTACCAATCAGCCAACCTAGTGAACTTCGACCACTAGCTAGTGAAACTTTTTTGCTGTTTGCTCTGTTATTCCGAGCGAGATTTTATTTCCATTACATCTCCATTTACTATTTATTTTTTTTTTATCACAAAAAAATTCCGAGCGAGTTCACGAAAAAATTCATGAGCATGATTTTGCAAAAGTTTGGAAGGCGCCTACACTATCCACTAGGCCACCATGTCATGCGGACGCTAGTTCGCCTTGCGTGCTATGTCCAGGGGCGTAGCCAGAAAAAATTTCGGGGAGGAGGGCCCGAAAAAAATTTTTCGAAAAACTTAAAAAATGAACGAGAAAACAGCGCCGCAGGCGAAAAATTTTGGAAAAAGGCTAGATAGCTCCACAAATAGCAGTACAAACGTGGAAAAAATAGCGCCGCAGGCAGCAAAATTTTTGAGAAAATAAAAATCATAAGGGCTTATGAAATTTTCGGACCCCGGCCGATTTCGGGGGGCCGGGCCCAGGGGGCCCACCTTACGCTACGTCCCTGCCTATGTCTCAGCCCTGCTCCAGTGTGGCAGCGTGGCGCCAAGGAACTTTTTTTGATTAAAATTAATTTTTATTGAATATCTTAAACGGTTAGCAGATTTGAAAAACGAAATCTTGCTCAGAATTTTTTTCTCTATCGAACTGGCTCGTTCAAAAACTTTGGTTTAAAAACTTTGTTTGTAAAAACGTAGAGTGCGGCCAGAATGTCCAAGCTGATCAAGATCAGAACTTTCAAACTTAATTTTAATCGTTAAAACCCGATTTTAAAATATGGGCTATGATACGGCGGGCACCGTATCCCTTTTACGGCTATTGGATACGGCGGGCACCATATCCTGTTTAACCCGGGGGGGGTATCGAGGTATCTAGGCAGTTTTTAAGGGGGATTTGGGCTATGGGGGGAGGGGTATCGAAGGCAATCAGAAAGGTATCTATGCAGTTTTTAAAGGGCTGCCGACGGCATGTGTCGATCCCCCCTCATCAACAAATTGGCAAGTAGCCAACAGGGGAGAGAGCGCGCCCAGGGAAGAGGCGCAGAGACATTTTCTTTTCCGCGCGTAACCGATTGACTATGCCGTCGGCATCCCTTTAAGGAGGGTTTTGGTTATAGGGGGGGTATCGCAGGCGATCAGGAAGGTATCTTCGTAGCTTTAGGGCCTTGCGGCTATGGGAGGCATCTGTAGCCATTAGCGTGGGTATTGATGGAGGTAGGGATGGATGTGATGGTGTATTACATCAGGGGTAGCCCGAAGCCCAGATGGTTACAGTCGCGAAGCGACTGGAACCATCTGGTTTTTCTAATATAAATATAACACCAACTCTGTTATAATCTAACTATTATTAAACATAAAAACATTCGAGAACTTTATTTTCCAAATACAAATATGTCGTGTCCGGCCCGTCGCAAAGCCGAGATAGCCATGCTTGACCATTTGTAGATGCATTAAATAGTCTTTTGGTTTGAAATATCGAAGGATAGTTTTCAGAAATACGTTGGATAAACGAAGTCCGGTTAGAAATCATACAGGAAGTTTCTTCTAGTCCACTCAGGCGAAAACAATCATGAACCCGGGAACTAGCTCTAGAACCTAGTCTGTAACTCCCGCAACAGAAAAAAAAAATTGAAAAATAGGGTTGTAAGTCAAAAACCTAAAACAAAGAAGCTAACAATCTTAGAAAAATTTCGAAAAAATTACGCTTTTTGGCCGAAAATCTGCAAAAAAACTGTTTTGAAAGTCCTGAACCGGGCCCGATCCGGGCCCAACGGGGCCACGGCATTCAACGGAGGCACGGATAGGGTCCCCTGAAGGCGCCGCAGTCGGTTAGCGGATCCCAAATACTGAACAGGGTCCGGGCTCGACTCCTGGCGGCCCCACATGTTCGCGCGTTTGCCTCAAACCTTCGCAAACCTTTTGCCTTTTTCCTCAACGAAGGAGTTTTCAGCTGAAAAAACTACCAAGGTCGCTAATAATTTGGAGAACGGAAACCGGAAGATAATAGCTATTTAGCAACCTGGGTGTATTTTGAGTAAAACAGACGTTTCCATCCATTTGAACGCTATTTCTCGCTGTTCGGGTCATCGGCCTTGATTTTGGCACGTATCGACACGGATTTCACTAAAAATAGAGCCCTGAGAGCTAGCAAGAAACACGTAAACTAAGTTGAAAAACTGCAAAGCCTCCTCACAAAAAAGTACCAGAATATTTTCAGTAACTTGGTCTCAAAAGCTCCGCCATTTTTCTTGTTTTTCAACGGTTTTATGAAATTTTCGAGATAAATCGTGATTTATAGCATTTTTCCGCTTAGTGTGTACGAATTACACCGTCCATGGACAGTTCAGCGTGTGTAGGAGCGCCGCGTACCGATTTTCCTAACCGTGTCGTGTGGTTAAGAAATGGAATGCGTGGGCCCTTTGCTTAAAAGTCGCAATTTCTCAAACGCCGTTGCGCCACCGTCATGGTCCCCTGTCCCTACCCCTGCCCCGCGTTCCCCAAACTCTTACCTTCGAATTTAATTTGCTCCTTTTTGCGCAATTCGGCTCCATTGTTTTCCGATTCGCTAGATCGTGATGCCCACGAGTTTTTCCGCAACCTCTGAATTCTTGAGCGAAAAGAAACGGGCAACCTAGTCATGAAACTTTCTTACTTGCCCCAAAGTCGTTTCAAACATTGTTCCGAACTTAGATTCGTGATCGGATCGGAAATTGGCAATTAGCAAGCGTTGTGTAATCTTTTGTGTGGTTTTTTCGATCCATTGCAATTTTACCGGGATGATATTTTACTTCTTGTTTTTATGATGTGTATTCGGAACATGAGCCGGCGGGCGAATACCATTTCTCATAAACTCAGTGCTCATAAATTCATTTCTCATAAATTTTCGGCTACGGTTCGATTTCGCTGCTAGAAAGCAGGCTACCGAAGAAACAAAGAAAAATACCACAGAAACTTAGAAAAATAAATTTATGGGAAATGAGTTTATGAGCAATGAGTTTATGTGAAATGGGCTTATATGGAATGTGTTTAGAGGATGGGTTGCGGCTTGAGCCAAAGTAGAACTCCGTCGCCTCCGCCGATCCCCCTTCCAGCCCAAGCACCGCAGCTGGCCCCAGACGAGGTAAGCCACGTTTCTCGTTCTCATCATGATTTTAGGTAGCCCCAATGTTTCCGGATTCATCCGAGACCCAACTGGTAATCTTCATTGAATTCGGCGTAATTTTCTGATATTTAGGCTCTCCGTGTTTCGCTGGAGGAGCAGCGAGAGCGTGCCCGTCAAGACACCGCCGCTACCGGCAATAATGTACGTTTTATTCTTTTTGCATAATTTCACATCTGCTTTGTAATTTTTCGGAAATAATTATCTGTTTTTCAGGATTCTCCGCAGGGACCGGACGTGATGGAGATGGACTGGGAGACGATGAGTGAGGATCAGCAGCTGGAGTGGGCTCTGCGGATGGAGCAAGAGGGAGGACAAGCCGACGCTGCTCAAGATCACACGATGGATACCACCGCTCCGCAGGTAATTTTTTATGCAAAAATTTCTTGTATTTGAAAGTGATCCGGCGATTTCAAAGCATTCAGAAAGGCCGTTTTATCAAAAGTTACATTTTCGATGAAGAATTGGTTCTTTGGTATTCAACCAACTTTTTCTCTTAGGAGATAAGTTCTCAAATATAAATAGTGGAAGTGTTGCTTAAAGGTTTTTACCATTCCTACACGTCAAAAAGTCACTACGTTT